CGAAGCTTAGAAGAGTAGACGGAACAGAGGAAGACAGGGCCTAGAGTCGGGGAAGAAGCAGGCAGCAGGGGCCGACCGAGGCAAACCTCTAGACGAGGCACTCGGCTCAGACAGAGGCAGCGGGAGTGGTTGGAGCGCGGCTAAATGCTTTTATGTGCTCAGGCGCCTCCCACAGGCCGCTCCTCGTGGGACCACCCTTGGCCAGTGAGGGAATTTGCCCTGGACCGCAGGGGTTTCTCCCCGGCAGCGCAGTGGTGGAAGATTTGGATGCCCTGATTGAATGTCAGGCGAAGTCCCCATTCTTTAAAGAGGTTGCCTGCTTAGGGACTGTAATGTCAGCGGTCTCCGCCCCTCATGTGTGCTAGGCACTGGGAAAAACGTCAATCACTTACTTTTAAAATTTTAAAAGTTTAATAGCAATAAAATAGTTATAAAAATAGTAACACAATTAGAGTAATAACAATTTGGACAAATTGAATTAAGACAATATGAGACAATAAAAACCAAGAGTTACGGACGTCCGGGTACCTTTTTCTGGGCATCACAAGCCTAAAAAAGGACCCCCGTTAACAAAGGATTAACCCTTAAGAACAAAAGCCCTTTGCATATTCATACACCTCATACATGATGCATAAATTCCATTCAAGCACAGGATTCCGTCTGATCTTCATCAACTTCTCCCCTCTAATCCTAATAGTGCCTTCGAGGCAGGAAGAAGTTCGTTTCTTCCAATAAGAAGGCCATAAATTCTTTTTCTCTGAAAGAACTAGGTGTCCTGTGGCTGCTATCTCACTGCAAGTCCTTTCTTTTAAACAAAACATCCTACATAGCATAGTTTCTATTTTAACAATTTTTATAACCTAAAACTATGTTTAACAGGGTACTTAAGAAAATTAATGCAGCATTGCTCTCTAACACAACACATATTATATTCATTTTAATATTTGCAAAAAGCCAATCATAAAATACATGCATTTTTCACAGACACCTTCTGCACGTCTTAGTGCTCAGCCCATGTAGAAATTTTCAGTGTCAGAAAATAGGTTTATAGCACAAAGGCCAGATAATGTTGAGGCATAAATAAAAATTAAATTGGTTCCTGACATAGCTACTGCTAATTTGCCCTCGAGATGGAGGTAGATTAGCAACAATTAAGACTAACCAAGCAACATAGTGTCTGCCTCAAAAATATGGAAGATATTCCTTCATTTGTTTTAATCTCACTTTGGAAGAACAAAGAATGAAATCTGAAACTTCTGACATAATGCAAAATTCAGAACTACTTTATAAGCACATCACTAGAATTTGTATTTTAGATTATTTCAGTGATAATCCATGCTCGTATATTACATAATGCCTTCAGCGCTGTTAACTTTGGCCCATTTAGGATGGACTCACAGTCTGGACTGCGTTCCCATAAAGGATTTGTAAAACACTTTTATGCAATGTAAAATAATGTAGAGTTGGAAAATTTCAAGCACATTTTGTAACCAGCAGGTATTTCATCCACCTGTCTTTTAGACCATGTCCAACATGCACATGCTTGTTCCCACTGAATTTTTCCTTCCATCACTGGGAGCAAAAGAATTATGCAACAAAATTATTTTTGCTGCAAATTACTAGATTTTTAGATATTTAATGTAGTGTGAACTTACTTTTAAAAAGCTTTCTAAAAATCCATTTTTTCAGTTACTTTCAGTTACTTCAGTTACTATGTTACACATAGCCTCTTGCTGTCCTGTTTGGAGAGCCTAGTGTGAAAATCTGGATAGATTTTGACTTTCCTTATTAGTGATGATACTCTAAAAGATTCTGAAGTGGGTCTTCATGAGATAAAACAGCTTTCCATTTTAGATGCATGAGAAGTTGATACTAGACAAGTACAATATCTAATCTTTCTTTTAAAGAACATCTTAAGAACTTGTGTGCTACTCAATACTCTGTCCTGAAGGCAAAGATTGCACCCTGGAACATAAATTTCTTAATGACTGCTTATTTTTTCTTTTTTAATATTTCCACAGAAAGAGGTGGTGAGTGTGAGCTGAGTTTGTCCTTCCAAAGAACGGTTTTTCTTGTGTTAGCATTAGGATCATGTTTATGCTGTGGTCTCGATCGGGTAGTGCTTCTGCTCTCCCTGAGTACGTGTACGAGTCGCTTCTGCTGAGTACTGTGGTTGTTGAGTACTGTAATTCATAGCCTCCCTCACTGTAAGCTTTAAGCATATCTAGGTAGCTGAATATTTTCTCAGTGTTTGCACCAGGTCCTTTCATGGGAAGTGCAGATGCTTTCTATTACTTCATTAGCTCTTTTCTTAGTATCAGCAGAGCTCTGTTGAAGTCACTAGACTGCAGCTTGTTTTTAATTGTTGTGATTTGTCCTTCTAAGTAGTGATATCTTTATAATAATCTTGACTGTGTTCTGTTTTATTGAAACCTTTCTGAAGTTGCTGAGCTTTTAAAATTATTTGCAGTATTCATTATGCCTTCCTGTGGGTTTTTATCTTCAGAGTGTTGTGTTCTGTGAAATGAAGACAGTAAATCCATTTCACATTTTATAATAGTTATAAATTTATAAGTGAAGTGGTATTTCAAGAACAGAATCTGAAAAATGTAGGTACTCGTTTTCTTCAAGTTAGAATGATCAGGTAAACAGATGTTTCAAAAATCACGATCATTCAAAATTTAAACTTCCTTTGACACTGAATCTAAATTGTCTCTTATTGCAATTTTAGTTTTAGTCACTGTACAGTGGCTTCATTCATCTCCAGTGTGTACTCTCTTTTGTGGTCCCTGACATTACATCAGGGATGCAGTTCAGCTGTTGCATCCTATTTTGAAGGCTGTAAGTCAGCAAGATACATATGTCCTTGCCATTCCTTTGCTTTTGTCTAGTGATTCAGGTCCACTGCGCTTTGCAAAAACACCGTCCCCACCAGAGGAGGTCTCTCCCCTGCCCAGCCCCACTGCTGGTCCCAATCATATGCTGGCACCAGCGTCTCCAGCACCAGCCCGACCTAAGTCACCTACACAGGTAAGGAGATGCCTGGCACAGGGGCCTGACCTGTTGTGCAGTGAGAGAGAGCTGAGATGATGAATGTGGTGGATTTTGCGTCTAGGCTGTGACTGGGTAGTGGCAGGGAGGCTACTGGTTCTGTTGCAGTCTGTTCTGTTCATCAGCTGTTCATCCCTGTGTCAGAACATGAATTGAAAATGTTTTTTTTATATTAGGGGAATGAAGAAAATGTCAGGTGACTGGTGAATTGGTGGGACTTGCAGTGACAAAGCAAAACACTTCTTAAAAAGTTGCGTTGTCGCTAAGGACCTATATACCAGCAATGACAGTTTGAAAATCCTATTTCTAAAACCTCCTTGTGATTTTTTGTACATTATATATTTCTGCTCTTCATTCATCTTCAAATGTATGCTTACCTGGGGAAAAATTAGCCAATGAGTACCACTGATCTGGCCAATCTCTAAAACAATGAAAAATAAAGCTAGTTGAAATACTGCTCTGCTAATTACTGATTGTTAAAGTCTTATTGGTTGTTTTAAACACTAATTGGGAAGTTTGACACTGTTGTAATCAATGGAGTAACTTCTATTATCGCTAGTATTGATAAAATAAGAATTGGTTTCATTCATTGGTTCCATCTGTAGCATGAGTTGTATATGATACTTCAAAGACACATGTTGATGTTCTGGATGTTTTTGGAATTGGGATAGCTTCTGTGCTGATTGCTTTTTCTATGCTATCTGCACATCAGAAGAAAACTAATTTTGTATCTAATGAGCATGCTTATTTTCTCTGGTCTCCCAAAATGTGACAGCTCACTGCCTGAGTATTCACCTGGTAGGACTCGGCGCCATTGGTGCCTATGGTGTTATATCCCTATACTTTTTTCTTTTTCAGTGGATTTATTTTCTTGGGGGTTTGATAGACTTAAAAATCATCCAATACTATTTTGTATTATTCAAATAATTAGTTTGTCATAGGTATGTGAATCTCTGGAGAGCAGGAGGAATGTAGTGAACTAGGCACCTTTGAAGTGCTATAGGTCCCAGAGATGATATGGCCCTAGCATTAGTACACTGTTAACAGGTAGCAGTGACAAAATCCCAAAGCTAAACACAAATGAACTCAAGAAGCCAAAAAGCTGCAGAGGCATTGTTTCTGTGCACTATCACCCTTCCAGCTATGGCCACATAGAAGAGCTAATGTCTTGCGCTGGGTGCCTGTCGCAGCAGAAAACAAAACAACCAGGACTTGCTTTTGTATCAAATCTGAAACCTTGAGTTTTAATGACTTTGAAACATAGGGTTGTTTTGCTCTTCCCATAATGTTTATTTCCAAGTACTTGGTGGTGAACAGCTAAACAGTTCCATTCCATACATGGCTTATTCCCATGGCTTATTTAGGGTGAAGCAGCCAAAGTAAAAACCAAAGTAAAAACAAAAGACAATTTGTTTAGGTCTAGTTTAAAGATTTTCTTTTATACCTGAACTAGTCTGTGACATTTTTGCTGTCTGCCTAGCTGAGGAAAGGTCCGCCAGTCCCACCACTGCCCAAGCTCACACCCACAAAGGAGTTGCAACAGGAGAACATCATTAACTTATTTGACGACAACTTTGTCCCAGAAATCAATGTGACAACGCCATCACAGGTAAGTTTCAGTGAATTGTGTAGAGGTCCAGCCATGTAATCACCCTAAGTTCTCCAAGACAATGCCCTGGGGGCTGATCTTCATGGGGGCAGAGGAGGATGGCAAAGGTACAAGGCAGAGGCACAATTACCACTTTCTGTTATCATGAAAGAGTTACACATATGATGTTTTGCTTTTGAATAGGTCACACATAATCACTCAAAAGGTCTAACACTGCTAGCATATTGAAAAAAAGAGCAGTTTCTGAGGGGTCTGACTGAAAATACTGTGATACAGTCATGTTTGAGATTTCAATGCATCTGGGTTGCATTACTAGCTGAGAGTTGATCTAAGATGCTTTTTTTTAATGCTAAGCATCTCAAGTGAAACTTCACAGAGATCCTTCATTACTTCTGTTTCCTTCATCAAAATCTCTTCTGTTTCCTTCATTTAAGAGTATTCTGTCTTTCTGTTGAGTGATTTTTAAAAAATGAAACTCAGCTGATTTTTATAAGTATAAAAAACAGCTAGATGATTCATTCACTTGGCTTTGCTCATAGAAACAGTAGCTGCACAGCAGAGAATGGTTCAAAATTAATTTTGTCTTATAATGATATTTCTAAGTTGCATATAATAAACAGAAAAGCCAGAATTGTGTAAAATAAGTCCATAAAAATTGTAATCAGCTGTTCAGCTTTTACATAATTAAAGTGATTACAATTTTTTTCAATAATGGACCCTTTCTTTCATGGTAACTGTAACTCTGAAATCCGAGCCTGCGTCTGATAGATTGGATAGTATGTAGATCTGAAGCTTGTGCAGAATGTAGGAATGTCTGTTTTCTTTTGAATTATTGGTTTCTTCTAACTCATTTGACAACACAGGAGAACAAAGGCAGAGCAATGAAAAATGCATTTTATACAATTTGAACATGTGATCTTTGTTTTCTTGTGGTAGGGAGAAACAGGCATTGCTGTGTGTAGAGATCTATTTGGAAAGGACTTATTTTTCATCAAGTTAAATTAAACAATTAAAGAATTAAAGGCCACTCCCCGAATGTAGCTGCTGGTAGGCACTCTTTCTGAAGGGAGATGTTAGGCATCACTGTACCCTGCCTTCATAAGTATTAATTACTGTAGGAGCATGAGCCTTGAAATCACTGGTAAGAGTTGGTGTAACCTGTGCTAGATATGGCCCCTTGCATTAAATACTGTATCTAACTAACATGTGTACGTCAGGCCATCCAAGGAAGCAGAAATGAAGCTGGTTTGCTTTTCCTTTAAGAGATGACACCAGAACAAGGCTTTAAATTAGTGTAATGTGGAGAGCCTGGTTCAAGTATGCCATAAAGAAATATAGAAGCCTGCTGTAAAAGCAGCCTTTCCCAGGCTTGATCCTGTAAATAATTAGGTTCTCAGCCACCTTTTATATAAACAACAAGATTCTCAGACCGTTCTGTCCTTGGCTGCTACTGGGAGCAGACAGTTAGTCTGGGAATAGAGATGAAGGTTTTGGGAACCTTCCATATCAGGGTGAGAACACTGATCTTGATTTCAGTAAACTAACTTCAGGTATTGTAAACAAAAGGAGGAGCTGAAGTTTTCTCTACAGCCTGTCAGGAGCTCAGATTTTGCAATATGCATGAACTTAATTAACACGGTTATAAAAAGTGATGGATTGATGAATAAACCGGAGTCAGATGCGAAAAATCAAAAAAGGTGGTCGCCCCCTCACTTCGACAGTGTAAGTCACATTTCCAGAATCTTTATAACCTTTCTGTGAGAGATTGGCATAGAAATGGAATGGCATAATTAAAGTGGGCTTGCTTCTGAGAACTGAAATCTTTTCCTCATCTCTCAAGGAAAATGGATCTCCCTTTAGTGAGTGACTTATGTCCTTCCCTCCTCCACAGTCAATGACCAGAGAGTGTCCTAAGGTATTCCCTGACAACCTTCTCATCAATCATTTGTACTTCTGCCTCCACAAAACAGACCTGCATCACTAAAGCATCTTTGCTATATTTGAGATCTCCGAGTATGTACGGACATTCTCAAATAATGTGATGTATAGATTTTGTATCCTTGTGTATGTGAACCAGTTAAGGAAAATATATAGCATGAATTCCACAGGAAATATGGGCTTATTCCTCTTATGTTTAGGGCTCCTCCCAAACTCTCTAAGCCCTTGTTGAGCAGTATGGAGAAAGCTATTTGGCCTGCAGAGCCTGCCAGTGGTACTTCCCAAGGGACCACCACTGCTCCTGCAGAGGCACAAAACCAAGAGAAGAGCTTTGCTGCTTTAGTACAGTGTTTGGGAGAGGATTACAAACAGGCCAAATTTTTGTTTCTTGAAACACAAATATCTTGTCATTGTTGTTGTTCCTCCTTTACTAAGCAGCACTGATGCATTCACTGCATTAGTGCAAGATAGTGAAAGGCAGCTCTGCTTGGTGATGTTGAATATTTGTGCACTGATTCAACAGTTATTCAAGTTATTAATTGTCAAAAATGGACTTAATTACTGCCTAGTAAAAGAAGGAGGTGAGATGATGAAATATCTGGTTGACCAGATGAAAGGATCATTCAGAAATGTGTGTTCCTTGCTTTATGCCTCCTTTTCTTCACATCACGTTTCTCCCTACTGTCCAGTTACTAATTTGGACATTGTAGGCCTTTATATGCCCCCTACAGATACATAATGTGTATGAGTGTGCCTGACTGCTCTAAAGTGAATGGTCAATAACTGCTAAAGCTATTTTAAGGCTTGTACAGACTGTGTACAGAGAGAGGGTAACAGTTCTTGTAGTCCTTGAAGGTTTCTTGTGCCTTCTTCACACCTTGTACATACCTCTGAGAGGTACAGCCTTGCTTCTGTGCAGCTTCTGTACAGCCTCTGAGAGCCACAGCTGCCTCTTTCAAATGTTTAATTTATTCATGCTTCATCATGCTGTTGTGGAATAAATACAGTATATTTGGCAGACCTTCCTGTCATAGCTTTGTCCCTTATTGAGGAATTTCCTGAGGTTCCTGTTTCTCCTGCATCTCCCAGTAATGCAGTATCTTAGGTACTCTGTATGTTTATTTGGGGCTTTGTCATTAAAGTCAAGATGAGCGTTTTCTTCATTTTGGTCTGAGGGGCATGGGTAACTTGGCAATCAGTGATCAATACCCTGTGACTTCCAATACCTTATCTGGTCTATAGCCTAAGGAAGACTCCTGTTAATTTGTTTCAATCCTCGAAGGTAGCAACTTCATTCTCAAACCTCAGTGAAAGGAGGCACAATTACCACTTTCTGATTACATGCTGTTGTTTCATCAAGTTGTATGACCATATGAGTATTAGTGCCTCAAGAGCATATGTGACGAAATCTAAATACACTCGATGGAAGGCATGAGAGAATAAACGTAATGTTGGTTACTGGTCGGAGTGGTGGGTTTGACTTTTTAAAGTGTGAGACTATAACTCTGGCTTCAGTGTATCAGACCGGTTATCCTTCATCACCAGTGATGCCAGAAGGCCAAAGGAAGAGGATAAATCAGGGCAAGCAATGTTGGTACTCCAGACACCCTCTTCTACTAGTCTCTTAGCCTCCATTCTTTTGCTGCTCTGGGGTTTCCTCAACATGATTTCTACCGATTTAGTAAGCAGATTACTTTGCCACAAATTTATTCACTCTTTCAGCATGTGTACATCTTTCACATTCACGTTACCTGAAGCCAAGAAGGTCCCCAGCTAGACCCTGTGCCACATGGAGCAGCACCACTTCTTTATTTTACATTTTCCCCCATCAACTTTGCTGCCAACTGCTTTCCTGCCTCCCTGAGGAATCAGGGAGTAGCCAAACCTCTGTGCCTCTCACACTGGTATAGACATCACCCCTTATCACCCCTTATCACATCACCCCTAGCATCCCTTACAAGCTGAAGAGTTCTAGGTCACTCTGTCATTCCCAACATGGGAGCTGAGTAGCTCTTTTGACCATGTTTGCAGGTCACACAGAGAGTTAAGGTGTTTTGTGGCATAATGGAAGCCATTAGTTACCTAACTTTGAACATCTGTTTACCAACAGTAACGGTAATTTGGAATGTTTATACTCTTAAATGTTTTAGTAACAAAGTCTTTGCTCATTAATTTTACTATCATTGTCATCACCACTATTATTATTATCTCCTAGTTTTTCTGGGTTTATATGTGCCATATTGAAGTAGACTTGCCCAGTCATACAAGCTCTCTCACTGTTTAACTGAACAACTAGCAGTAGGCAGTACTTGTTAGCAAGACCAAGATGCTTGCCTAGAATATTTACAATTAGTGATAATTAAATCTCAGCTATAGTTTCACACTAATAATTCTAGGGTGAAACACACTAATAGTTTTTTCAGGTTAATTTATAGCAGAAAAGACCTGTAGCCCATTGAACATATATATGTGTATATATTTTTATAGTGACCTCAGAGGCCTTGGCTAATTTATTAATTGCAAACCAAAAAAGACTCTACCATGGTAATCTGGTTTAATAAGAGCATATCATAGAATCATGAAATGGTTTTTGGTGAAAGAGACCTTAAAGATCCTCTAGTTCCATCCCCTCTGCCATGGACAGTGATAGCTCTCACAAGACCAGGTTGCTCAAAGCCCCATCCAACTTGGCTTTGAACACTTTTAGGAATGGAATATCCATGACTACTCTGGGCAACCTTACTGGGCAGCCTTACAGTGCCTTACTGTCAGATGTTTCCTAAAGTTTAGAGCCAAACACAACATTAATTGTGAATTGCTATACATGTTCCGAATTAAAACTTAATTCAAATGCCTTTAGATCCTTCTGTATTGGCTTTTTACTAATGTTTGTGTCTGGGGAGAGACTAACTTATTCGAATGTAAGGACATTGGGTGCCATTTATGTATTTTTTAACTTTGATGTATGTCTCAAAGCCCTTTAAAAGGGCCTTCACCATCAAGTGATGCACACTCAACACTTCTTTGAAAGGGCAGTGACTGTTTAGCCTGAAAAGGCAAAACTCTACTACAGAGAAAACAAAGACATCATAAGAGTGAATCTCATAAAAGTAAGACTTGTACTGAAGCTCAGGAAAATCTTCAGAGCTTCCTCCCCTTTGTGTGCACCACAGCTAGTAAATCTGTGGAGTGTTTTGTTTTTTTCTTGATCATTTTAATATTTTACTGCCCAGAGCAGCTTTTAAAAGATATGTTTTTCAAGAATTATATTTCTCTTCTGAAAGAATGAAGTACCTGAAGCTAAGAAAGAGGAATCGTTGCTGGATTTGGACTTCGACCCTTTCAAGCCAGAAGCAGTATCAACAGGAGCTGGTCATTCACCCATGTCTCAGGTATCTCTTTGCCTCAACATACTCAAACCATATGAATGCAATATACTGGGTTTGGTAGAAAAGCTTTGCCTCATGAATTAATAGGAAGTATCTGAAAATTTTATCTTCCTGAGAAGCACAAGTTAGCCTTCTGTCTTCCCCGTCAGTAACATCATATTTGATGATGTACTGGAAGGAGAGGAAATTGTTAGGTGGTAAAATGAGATGTCTGCTGATGAGAATGGTTGCTGGTACCTTGGCCTTGACTTTAGCATGCTATTCCTGTCCATCGTTAGAATAACTCTTAGTGTGAACATTATTATTCTCCAGTGCTTGTTTTTCTGGCAACTTTTCTGACCTGACTTTGATTCTTCATGTCTGGAAAGATGCCTTTGAGGACCTAGATCTCATGCAGTTGCTTTACTGTGATGGAGTTTCTGTATCAAGCAGTGGTATGATCTGAGTGTTTTTGCTATTAATCTACTTTAGACCTAATTTCAAGGAAAATTAGAGTATGGAATAGGGTGTTTTCTTGTAGAATGTTGTGTTATTGAAAGTCTACATTCAATAGTAATATTTCTAATGATAGTTTTTGCAGCCATATAAAAAAAAAGAAAATGCTAATTTATCAAGTTGCTGTAATTCATTGGCTTATCCTGCAGGACATGCTATTTTAAAATGTAGAATTCACCCTCACTACCCAGAGAGCAGGTAGCAAGGTAGGGGAGATCTCATGGCCAGCATGTCTGTATTCCTGTTTTGTACATAAAGAAACGATGTTAATACACTGTTAGCAAGACCTATCATTAATCTGGCTTGTTCTGTGAGACATGAGAAGACTTATCAGCTGTCCAGAAATGCAGCACTGGAAAGGAGTGAGAAGACAAGAAGCTTTAAGGCTGAGATGGTCGTGATTCTCTGCTGTTCTCTACCTCAGTTAATTTCTTATTCAGTGTGAAGCCCTAGTTATGTAATGAGATCTGTAGTGATCTCTGACAAGGTATGTGCTGTCAGAAAAAGAATGTACTGTCAACACTCTGAACATTAGCTGAATTTTCTTATTGAGATTTGCTACGATAAGTTTTCCATTCTAGCAAAAGCTTTGTGCATTTTACTTGTTATGCTTTTTCTCCCTTTAAACAGAGAAAAGGAAGGGGAAGGCAAATGACATTCCATAGCATTCAGCAGTTACAGAAAAGACTAAGTGGGACTTTGCTAACTACTCTCTCAGCTTGTTTTATAATAATGCTGATTAGAGCAGTGAGATCATTAAACAAAAGATACTTTTATGACAGAACATATTTGTTCTGACACCATATTGTACAGACTGTAGAAAAGTTTATTACTTTGGTGAAAAACAGTTATTTTATATTCAACTATGCCACAAAATACAGAACATAATTTTGTGTAGAAAATTTGTATTTAAAAAGTTACATAGTAACTTTTCATCTAGAGCCATAGGTAGAATTCCCTGAGCACCTTTACTCGCTCCTTTCACCTTTCTGCAGAACAAAGGCATATGAGAAAGAATGGCCCACATCTACAAGAGCTGTGGATAGGTCAGAACACCGTCATTTTAGAAGAGAAGACAGCCCTGCAGTCTGGGTCTTGTTTTTCCTGGAGCTGACAGGGTCATTACTATGGCAGTATAGAGGGAATGAAACCTGTGGCTGCAGAGCCCTGTGCTTGCAGGGAGATTAAGGAGAGAGCCTTATATGGTATTTCCATATGTGTATAGCTTTTGCTTCAGTCATAGATATTTTCCATTCAGCAAACAGCTGAGGTGTGAATCTGAAGACAGGAGTAGTCATCTGTGCATGATGCCTTGGAAGGCCTGGCATGACTTGTCTGTTGTTAATTTAATTAATTACCTCCCTCCACTGCTCTGCCAGGGTGATCCAACCACCATAGGTGAGCCCTGGTCTGTCCTTCCTTCAGCTGCTTTTCTGTTTCTATGGCTGCATTAGAAGGGACCTTTCTAAATCTGTCTGGTTCTCTTCTCTTTTGGTACAAACCAGCAGAGTTCCGTCTCATGTGGTGGGCTATAAATATTTGGCATGAAGTCTGCTGCTTTTTTTTCATTTGTCTGTTTAGCTCTTCTGTTGAGAGGTCACTAGCATTGATTAATAGACTGGACAAGAAAAAGAAAATATTAGTCAACTTTCTTATTTCCTTTCACAAATAGTATGCCATTTTCCTTTCTAGTGTCAGTGTTGCGAGGAAGACCACTTTCAGTAGATAGCTGTGTCATTTTTAACTGGCTAGAAAACCCCAACTTTGTAAGCTCTTTAAGGCTGACACCTTGCAGAGGCTTGTGTACCTATTGAAAGTCACTCAGTCCCCAGCTCCAAACCTGGCCATTACTCATGCACACAGCAATGTGAGTTTGCTGGAAAGCAACAAGTACTTTGTTGGAAAGTGGAAAATATCACAATGCATTTCATACTTCCCATCCTTTATAACCAAAAGTATTATGCAGATATGTACAGACACACACACACACATGGACATGTGCTAATATATAAAATATGTATGTACTATAAGCATGCTTATAAATAAGTTCTCCTCATTTAATGGGCATTGTTATGTAGCATGTTGGACATAGTGTACAGGGATGGTATTTTTCTGACAAACTCTTTTTTTCACTACTTTTTCTAGACATTGCCATGGGATCTATGGACGGTAAGCCTGACATACATAATAGTATTTCTGTGCCCCTGATTTTGTAACTTAAACTCAGATTTACAATTCTTTTACCAAAATCCAAGATAAAGAATTCACAGACCATGAAAAAACTCTTTCAAGTATATGAAGCCACTCGGTATCTTTTAAAACTAACAACAACAAAAAATAATCTGTTTCTTGGCCTACAAAACCTAAAGGATGTCAGAAATGTAGGCTAAAAGATTCATAATCACTACAGCTAAGTGTGTTGCTTTTATTATGCCTAAAGTACAGCTATTAGAAGGTAATAATGGATATAAGTCACTTGTTTTAAATACCTGACGGTGTCCATTAACCCAGTGGACAACCATTTTCTCAAAACCAGGAGTAAAGACAGAATTTGTCTTTGTGGGAAATGCAGTGAACTGGAGTCACTCCCAAAAGAAAACGCTGCTATAGGAAACTGAATGAATTCTTCCTTCTTCCTCCTGGTGCCAAATCACATTAAATGATCTGCAGGAAGAAAACAACCCATTTTTGTGAGCTTTCTTTTGACTATATGTAATGGAGTTACCTGGGTTGACTTGACATGGAGCCCGATATGTTCATGTTTGACCTTTTGTAGCTTCAGCCAGTACAGAAATCTGTGAACATATTCAGATACACAGCACTGTTTTTTTTCACATTCCACGTATGATGTACATTAAATGCATATGTCCTTATATTGAGTGAGATTAAATAAGGCTTGATAAAAACAGTCATGTTTGTAGGCTAGCCAAAATTTCAAGGCTGCAAATATCTGGACCACATGAAATAAACCAGAAATGTTGAGCATGTATTGCTCTAAACTTAGATTAGATAGCTTTATTAATGTCTTCTTTCTGCACCGTTTTAATTATAGTTTTTTAATGTTATGTATTTATTTATTATGTATTATAATTTTCTTCATCTTTACTCTATTTTTAAAAAAGTCCAGTGTGCTTCATAGCTAAACATTTGAAATAAAAATGTTGGTGACTCACAGGGGAAAGCAAGAGGTGATCAATATTCAACATACATGAAGAACGTTTTTTATAATGTAATTCAGAGGTTTAAAATTCACAGGCCTAGAATTAGTCTTGGGTGGAGTGGTGGGAAAGGACCTGCCGCTCCTTCCCCACTCTGATAGGTAACTGCAGCTGGTTAGAGAGTTGCTAATTAATGAACTGCTGCTGTATCAAAGTAAATCATGTTCTTCTTTTCTGTGTTTTATGTGTATGACTTCTTTCTATACAGACAAGCAGCGAATTGGTGCAGCCGGTAAGCAAACCTCCCTCCAAAATCACAATCACGCTAGAGACTTCTTTAATCATTGTGGTGTAATGCATAGTTTTCTGGTTTTGTGTATCAGTGCTGCTCTTTTGCATTACAATTTATTGCCTTCAGATGTTGCAAATCACATAGCTTTTCCTAAAATTGCCTAATCTAGTCATTTCATTCTTTAGATTTAAATTGCTCTTGTAAAATATAGATGTTGTGTTTTGTCATCAAGTCCGCCTTTATCTTTTTCATCTTGTGTTTTTTCTTTGCTTTTCTGTCTGCTTAAAGCCTGATTCTTCAAAAAGTCTTTCCCTGTGTAACCTGATCATGGAGGAAACCCCAAACAGTGGGTCATCAGAAGATACTAACAGATCTCAAACTGATCTAGGTTCACTCAACTGGGGCCTAGATGTTAGCACACCCAGTATCAGCCAGGAAATTACTGCAGGCAGTTCTTTGCTTTTCCCCAGGGCAGAGCAAACCTCAAGCGAATCCACAGGTACTCTGCCTGCTAATGTTTGGCCTGCAGTAGGTGAGCAGGAGGATGCTGCACCAGGGCCAGCTTCTGTAAGCGAAAACCAGAGGACTTCACTGGAGGACCAGTTGGATGCCAAAAGTGTCGTGTGGAAAGATGTGGTGACCAATCAGCCTTTAGAGAATGTAACCAGTTTTGAGGCACCCATCCTGGGAACTGATAGCTTGTTGGATGAACCACTCCCATGTGATGTGCAAAAGGCAGAGGAAGAGCATGAGGAAGACGAGTGGGCAGGTGTCAAGCCAAGTGAAAAGGTAGAGACTGGAGCTAACTACAAGGAGGTAGAACGTACAGAGGAACTGGAAGAGCAAGGCTATGAAACCAAAGGAAGCAGTGAGGCAGAATTTCATAACGGTTTAGCAAAATCAGATCTTGAAATTCTAGTCAGCACAGAGGTAGAAGGTTTACATGAGTTTGAAGATAATTATGGGAATACTGGGAGAACTAGTGGCGCTAACCTAGAAAACTCTACAGAAGAATTCAAACAGGTCAGTGGCATTGAGGAGACAGATAGAGAAATACCATTGTTGAGCACAGGGCTGGAAAGTGGGGACAAAGTAGGGGTGTACAACTGTAAGACTATAGAAAGCACTGGCTCTGAACCTGAGAGAGTCCTTGGTATCTGGGATGAGGACCATCAAAATACATTTGAGGAGGCCTTAGATCAAAGTGACAGTGGTACTGGACAGAGTACATCCATGGAGTGTATTGACATGAGGGCACATGTTGACCTAGACCACACAGGCAAGTACCCTCCAGATACTGGAAGTGATCTATGTGAGGCTGAATTATTCAGTGCAGAAGAGTCTGGTAAAGGAACTGAAGATAATAACATCAACCACCTCCCAAATGGTAGTACTGATACTAAAGGTCAAGCTGCTGCTGAAGAACAGTGGGCATTGCTGCCCAAGGCAGCTGATGCTGCCAGCACAAGCTGTGATAATCCTTGCCTAGATAATGCAGATGACCGAGTGACAGGTAGGACAGCAACAGCAGTCACTGAAGTGATTAGCAGCGGTGTCCCTGAAGCCTTGGAAACAGAGCCCTGGCTGGCAAACTGGGATCCAACAGTTACTAATGATTCCTGGGGTTTTTCTAGTCTGTCAGATAGCCAAGCCAATGGACTGGATAATTGGCCCTTCTTCCCCAAGCAGGAAAACTCAGAGGAAGGTAACATGGAAAATGTTTGGTTAGGCATTAGTAATAAATGGTCTACAGAAGACCTAGGAGCTGCTGATAACAGCTGGGGGGAAGTAGGTGCAAGCACAGGCCACGTAATTCAGGAGGCGCTAGTAAAACGAGATTTGCCCGGGGAGCAGGCAGGCATTAGCAATCCTGGACCGAGCAAGGACATAGCTAGACCCTTGTCTCTGTTTCAAATGGGAAATTCCAGAAATGCTAGCACCGAGAGTTCAACTAGTCCTAAAGACAATGAGACCAACAACTCAGATTTATCTGAAGATGAAATTGCTAACCGGAGATATGGATTGTTGTACCAGGAAATTGAGGCTGATAAAGAAGAGGTACCTACCCCAGTGTGTAGTGTAGTCTAGACAAAGAGTTCCTTAGGCCATGCATAAGCTTGTTGTTTAAAAACATTCCATTTGTGTGTTTCCTACTGCCCTTCCTAAGTCCATGCTATTCTTTTTTTAAAAAATTGCCATGCAACTCTTCATGGTGTGGTGCCCTTCAGCCCTTCAAGCAGGCTGAAAACAATGCATTTCAAAATGGTGAATGAAGCATTGAACTGTGAAGACACATTGTGTCTGGCAGCTTTTGTGTTTTATCTGTAGATGTTTAAATGCACCTGGTCTTTTTTTTAAATTTTTTTTTTTTAATATTTAAGGTACTCTGCTTTTTCTTTTTGTCATTTTCTTTAAGCCTGTGATGTCTGTTATCAAATACCACTGTTGTAAAAATTTCTTATTGGCTTACCCTTCTTTTTTTTTTTTCCTCTTTTTTCTTTTTGTTCCTTTTTTTTTAATGTCTGGCCTACATTTTTATTTTGCAAATAAAAATGTTTTAACTCATGTTCAGATTTAGTAAACAAAAGATAATTTGTTCTGATCTTCACTTCTACTTAGGCATCCACCATAGCATTTAATGGATTTGCACAGGTAAGAAATAAACAAGTTTTGAGATAATTTTTTTTTCTGTGCTATTGGAAAGGCACTAGAACTGGCTATACAAATTCAGGAAATCTGTTCTACAGACAAGCTGCATTGAGACATCATTCTGTCTCAAATCCAGACCTTGTCTGTTGTCAGAAATTCTTAGATGTTGCTGGAAAGATTCTAATACCCTTAGGACTCTTGGCCTGACTGAGTGTAAAGCAAAAAATCTGATTACCTTGGTAGGACAGCTATTTTCTCCTAAAATGGCTAGTCTAGCTGTTTTATTGTGCTCTTTTGTGGGTTATTTTTCTCACAATCCCAAAATGCTGTAAAGCACACTGTTTTTAGTACCTCTGTATGTAAATTTGTAGTAGGTTTTATTCTTTTCTTCATTTTCACTCAAGATACATTTTACTCTCAAAGTTTAACCCAAGTTATTTATCTGCTGTGGTGCTGATGGTGAGTCTGTGCTACACATTACAGAGGTACAGCACATAAACACACTGTGTTTATGCTTTCAGATTCCAGGGCTGTATTAAGATCCCAAATTTCAGGTGGATTACCTAGGGCTTCATTATTTTCCAGCATTCTCTTAGAGACTGACTCAACCACAGCACACCCTGTACACCAAATTTTAAAAGTACCCAAAAAGGCTCAGCTTACACAAGGATGGAAATGAGTCTCCCTATGATTAACTGTTCTGTTCCAGGGTATTAAGTGTAGTAAAGGATCCAGATGGAAGGGGCAAAGCACAAGGATCTGATAATCAAGGCAAAATGTTTATCTGGAGAAAATACGTGTTTTCTCTCTCCTCTGTGGTAGGAAAATATTTTGGCCCAGCAGTATTTTGCAAATTAATTGATTTTGAAGGAGTGAGATGTTGGGAAACACCTCCATTTTTCTACTTAGTACGGGTAAAATTTCGTATTTGTAATTGCTATAGTTATTATTCAAATAAAAGCCCATGATCAAGAGGGAAGTACCTTACAGCGGGTGTACTCTGCAGGCACAGCCATGTGTAATCTGGGATTCAGAGTTCTACAACTTAGAAGTGCATTGCACCTTAAATTAAGTCCTTGTGAATCACATGTATTTAATGAAGGGTGTGAATCACATGTATTCACTACCTTTAGTGAGGTGAAAAATGTTGGTTTAGAAACATTGAATATAAAATTGAAAAAATAATAGTGTTAGTATTAATAGTACTCAGATAATCTAAATAAATATAAATATCATATTAATTCCATTTATTTGCCATCTTTATTTGATGTAAATGTACTTAGTGATTTTATCTGAGTAAACCATTAAAAAATCAGGTCTTTGATGGGCACCTGCAAATATACCGTTTCAGATATTTTTACATTATTGTTTTTCATTTCTATGTCTAGGATATCTCTGCATTTACAGTGCAATCAAATGAAAATGTGGAAGAGCCTTTGGTAAGTTGTGGCTTTTAGTTCCTTTTAAAATGTCTTGTCAAAAAGGGTAAAATTTTTCCTTTTTGCAAAGATATTTTCACTTTTTTTTTTTTTTGTTTTCTATCCTTTGAATCACACCACCTTATGCAAGTCTTCCATTTGGAAGAGCTGGTGTTAACATTGTAGTTGTAAGTCCATATTCACTGAAACAATCTTTCACAAGGGTAGCACAGAGCAAAAGAAAAGAAAACCAGAACATTGTAAGGTATGTTTATTTTATAAAGGTGTAGTCAAACAGTTTCTTTATTGCATTTATGAAAATACTTGAATGAGTACTAAGGTCCAGTGTACAGCAAGGACCTCATAGTATGTGATGGCTGTTACAGATCTCCAAAATTGCTGTAATTTTATCGACTCACCTCCATATCAATAGTGAGCAGAGTCTACTTCTAAGGAGGGCACAATCTTCTCAGAATTGATCATACCTGGGCAGTTTCTTAGCTCCTCTTACAGTCTTTGCTTAGCTTGGGACAAGGATGAGAATAACAGCATTGCTGGGTGAGTGCTGTAGTTACTTAATAGCAGCAGGGTGATATTTAATGTTATTTAATGTGGTGTTTTGGTGATGGTTACTGCATATCGTGAGAATATTTTTGCTCATAGCTGCAATGTGGTAAGTCATCTGAAGTATGCTTTTCAACAAGTGACTCAAAGCACATCAATGTAGTCTGCTCTATGTTACTTGTGATTTTAAGTCTAAAAGAATTTTCCAGCATTAAATGTCAGGAAACACATTACCTATGTACTTTATGTTTCTCATTTCAGTCCTATTTCTTAGGAAATTCTCTAGAGTTATCATTAATGTGCATTAATGCACACAGAGAAATTTTTGCAAAGTATTGTATAGTATACAAGTGAATGCTCCTTAATGCTATGCCAATTCCTGAAGGTCTTGCATAGGCAGACTTCTCTGTATTTCATTAAAAATCAGACTGTTTAAGGAGTATATGCAAAGAATTGAGAGGCTATGGGTTTGTTTTTTTTTTTTCCTGAAAAATATCAGGAGGAGAAGGTATTCAAGACGTTCAAGAATTTCATAGAAGCTGTCTCTTCATCACTGGAGATATCACATTCTAGCCAGCAACCTGTTATCATCTGCAAAGCAATTGTTTTTGAGCTTCATATTATGCTGAGCAATTTGTTAATGGCAAATTAATCAATTTGGCTTATGATAATCTGGTTGAGTCAGCCATCTTTATAAATCAAATCTGCTGAGCACAGCTTAGAACTCTTCTCTTGTTAGGTGCATGTATTTGCAGAGTAATGTCTCTATTGGAGATCACTCATCTGCTGTGAGCTGTTTTGCCACAAGACTGAACATGTTGCAAGGCTTGTGAGATTTTATAGGTCCTCTTGTTGGAAAACAGCCTGAGGCCAGAATTTAAAAAGGTGAGAATCTCAATAGTATACGTTGATAAATGAGTGCCTCATAGGTGATTAAGAGCTCAAGAGAAAATGCATTTTAATAAGAAAACAGCGGTGATTGCTAGAATTCATTGCTAGTATTCAATCAGTCACCGTGCAAATAAAAACTGTTTGAGTCTCACTCTCTGTTCATTGCTTCTTACCCTCACTGGAGGAGGGTATATTGTCTGATAATAGACAGAACCAGGGAGGAGGAGGTAAATTTTTAAACTCATGTTTGAAGACTAGGGTTGGTACACATGGGTGCCAGTTTCAATTTCTGGCCTTGCCAGCAGTTTCTGGAGCATTTTTAAGCAAACTGGGTGCTTTCCCCCACTTCCATTACCTCTCACTATAACTCAGGAAGCTTTCCTTGTGAGGGAGGCATGTAGGACTGGCTCATTTTACATTGATTATGAAAATGCCCTTTTCCTGCTGTCTTTTACTGGGGACAAAGCCTGGCAGGACTGAGCCTGAAGCAACACTGTGCCAGGCACAGTTCTCTTTCTCCCTCTTCCTCCCCAACATCATATGCTCCTCAACAATTTTTCCACTATCTACTTAAAAATCAATAACAGAAGACTGAGGCTGAAGAAACTCCACCTGGGGAACCTAAGGTTGAGGAAACCCCTGCTGCTGCTGCTGTAGAAAAGGAGGCCGTCCCTGCTGAGCCAGCAGAGCAGGCTGTGGTGAGTGATCTGTCCTCCATGCCACCTCCCAGGCCTCATTGGAGCCACATTTTGTTATGGTGAATGTGCTTGCTGCATTTCAGCCATTCCTTCCACTGTCATCCTCCATGGATAGTTTCTCTGCTGCCTGCTGCGGCACAGCATGCCTCTCCAGCATGTGCCCCTTTCAGCCCTAAAATGTCATTCCTTCTGCACTGGGCATCTTAGACTCAAGTTTGCCTGAGTTGTTGTGGTTTTACAAGTTGTTTGATGTCAGATGAACTTCAGAATGGGAAAGAATTGGTGCCATTTTTAAATTACATTATTAGCAATTTTCTCATTTCATCTCAAGCACTAGGATAATGTATGTCTTGTACGATGCTTACTACAGCAGGAAAATTCCATTAGAAAGTTATTATAGTAGGTCTACAAAGCTCAGAGTTTTAGAAGCCAGTTGTGAGCCGAAGAGAGGACACCAAACACCAGTTGGGAGACTTTTTACATGTCAGAATTCAGGAGATGAAGAAGAAATTACAGCTCTGCATGAGTAACAAAGCAAGGCATCCAATATCACTGAAAATTAAGAGATGGTCTGAGACAGTAGGCATGGAGTTTGCCTGGAATGCCTAGCATTCCTTTTTATACAGGTATCTCACTGCATATTCTTTTTATCCAACACGCTAGTGTCAGAAAGTCCTGGTGGTGGATGATACTCACAGGCTAAGAAACCCTGCGTGAAGACTGCATCTGTTTTTGTAGTCTGACATCTTTCATGCTTTTCTGAAGACAGTAACATGTTCAGAGGCTCTAATGAGTTGCTGGTAGAATATGAAGATTACTACTGAAAAACTGGATGGAAAAAAGGAGTTGTTTTGTGTGTCAGTTCCTCTGCCACAGAAGCTGTGGAAGATACATAACTGTGCTCTTTGTCTATCGAGCATAGTTTGGTGTTATAAGTCTTCTTAGAAGAGAATGTTTAAGCTTGCTGAGCTGCACTTGGACTTGGGGGAGAACCCTGTTTGTCTTCTGCTTCTAAGCAGGGATGATGATACCCAAATGACCATGAAATTAGGTGGCTTTCAGTAAGCGCTTGATAACTGCTATATGGACATCTGTATTAAGCTAATGTACATGCAAATTAGCTGAAGAAAGTGGAAGTATCTGTAGATGCAGCTATAAATGTGGCAGCAGAGAGCATGGATAGATGTCTTAATTATCAGATATCAAGCTACTGAGCCCTTTCTAACAGAGGGAAAAATAATTTATTGTGTGAGGAAAGTTGGGCAGGACTAGATGGGCTGTTCTGCAGGACTTTGGGGGAAAGAGCAGATAATTCCTGGCTCTGTCCAGCCTTACCTGTTCTCTGGGGACACCTAGCAGCATTGGACCTATGGAGGGAAGCAGTCACAATATCTTCCCCAGAATTACATTTAGGTTTAGTTCTAATTACACTTGCATGATTTTTGAGTATTTGTTTCATATTTTAAATCACTTTTGCTTGGCTCCATGGTTCACACTGGAGGAAATTATTTCAGGATCATTCCCTTCTACTGATATAACTAGATGAAGAAAGCTTCATGGTCTGTGTAGACCAGGCTCTCCCCTTCTATGTGTTTCCAGTTCATATTGTCAGCTCTGTAGGAAGGCAAAAAAATTAAATTACCTATCTGAGGCACATTTTTTGCCAGACTGTTGATAAAAATGCCTCATGTAAATGTGATGGTTTGGAATAAAGGAAGTGGGAGGGAAGGTGGAGAGAGAAGAAATGGAAAATTGGTCATTGATCTGGAGCTCTTCTCTTCCCATGAGTGCATGGCAGGGAATAATGTGGAAGAACAGATATTAATGAAGCCAGAAAAGTGGTTTTGTTTTGAAAAAAATGTAAAAGAATTTCCCCATTTTTCCAAAAGGAAATATTTTTGTCCTGCACTAAGACAAAGCAATACTCTGAAGCCTGTTGCACATCTTAAGAACTAATTAAACTGTCTCTGTCTGCAGTACCGTGCATTTTCTTGCTGGCTGACATGACCTTTTCAGTTGATCCATTTTGCTGCTGAGGAGTTCTGGGTCATGTTGTCAGCTGCTCTGGCTGAGTCACAGGAGTGCAGAGCTATTGGAAGAGAGGCAGAGATAAACAATGCAAGAGACAGATGATTTAAGAGCAATCCAAGAGGAGGAGCATAGACATTAAATAGAAGTTAAACAGTTTTGATTAGGTTTGTTCTTGGTGTTTTGCTGCTAATTCAAAATCATATTGTCCTTACTAGTTTAGGAAAAAACCCAAAGTGTTGATTTTAAAAATGCCTGAAATGGAGTGACTGCATTTGTTTCTGAAAGGTTTTTATTTCAGAGGGGGTTTTCCAAGACTTGCAAATAAGAGTTTTGATGATTAGGATTAATGACAAATATGTTCAAAGCTAAGGAAAAGTACACTGAATTTCAAAAGATGAAAACATGTCATTTCCCAGCAGCACTTCTACATTCATTTGCTTTACAAGTGACAGTTTCCTTTAAAAGTAGAATTGTAAAATATTAATTGGCAATCTTTTATTGAGTTTAATTGCTTCCAGTTTGGAGTGACAGCCAGTCCTTAGCTGAATTTTTCTGTGGTAAGTTTCTGGTCACAACCCGTTAACCCAGAAAATTTATGACACAGATCCCTCATTGTAGGAACTTCACAGTAAATTTTCTGGCAGGGTGTTCATTTAAATTATAGATAGAACGGTCCAGGGGATAGGGTACTACTTGCTCGTCTGGGCATTTTGGATTCAGTTTGCGGTTTCATAGTCTGCCTGATCAAGATTGGCAAAACTTCATTAGAAGAGCTCATCAGAGTTGTCGCCTAGGATCTCTACATAACTTTGTCTTGGTCCTTCAGATTTCCAGGTCCATAGAACAAATAAAGGTTTTATTAGTAGCTCTCAACAGTTGATCTTTTTTGGGGAGGGGATAAAAGGGTAATTAAAGGGACAGGATGACCATGTGTGCCAACAGAAGAAAAGTTAACCATGGTAAACAGTTTATGCATGGAATTCTCCACACAGAAAGAGTTGTTTTTTTTGTTTCTAAAGCATCCCCAAAGGCAGCTATAAATCCAAATGATATTCTGAAAGATCTAATGCCTTAACCACTGGCTTCTTTCTTTTTCAAATAATACTGCCCTTCTCACCATAATTTTTCACATTCAAGCAAAGATGTCATGAGGACATCATAATAAAGTGAATGCTTATGAAATGTTGCTATTTCCCTTTCTTCTTTTCCTGTATGTGAGACATAATGCTTGAGATCAGCTTTTCTACTTCCACTGCACTTACTAGTTTGGAAAAAGCTTCCCAGTGCTTTGGGTCTGATGCCTGCCTGGACTCTGATGTTCTCCTGTTAAAGCAGTCAGACACTCAGCTAAATGCTGTGGTTTTCAGAGTAGTATATTCAGAGTAGTATAAGCATACGTGAAGCTACCTCCTGATAAGCTCTTTGCAGACAGAGTGGGTACAGCAGAGGCCAGGGAACAGCCTGCAACCAAGTGTATCTAATTAGGGTTCAATCCCACTTTAGGTACTATTCACAGTGCCCAAATGGTGGAATGTGTAGTTTGAGAGAGCAATACAATGATTAGATACAGAAGAGCAGTCAGCTGTGCCCAGATTCTGAGCATGAAGCTAAGTGCAGGTGAAAAATGGGAGCATAAGGCCATTAAAAATATATGACTCTCTTTTACAGGAGAGAACTGATGTAGAATAGTGTCTTTCTGTTGAAGTCTCCATAAGCAGATTTTTCTCTCTGGAACCAGGGTGTTAGTTCCCTAATGTTATTCCAGTCATCCTTTTTTCTAGGGCTTCATGCTCTAAAAGTGATACAGTTTATCATGCCTCTCTTCTCAAACTCCATTAACCACAAAATCCCAGCTTCCAGCTAATCAGAAAAGCAAAAATCCTACTAAATTGACTAGTACACAATAGTCAAATTAGCTTCAGGAAATCTCAAGCTTTGGGAAATAAAAGAAGCTCTCCTTACTTTCACCTTCCCAACTAAAATTGTGCTTTTAGTTAATGAGAAAACAGTTACTATTCAAAAATATGCATATGTGTATATTAAATTGTTCTGTAAAGATACCCAAAGCTGGGCTGGTGGGATTCTTACCAGAGAATATTGCTGGGGAATTACTAAGAAAATGAGAAAGGCCAAGATGTTCCTGACTTTGAAGTGCAAGAATATACTAATTTCTGAAGGCAAATTGTAAATACAGCTGCTGGCAGAAATTCAGCACTTTTTAATAGTACAATTAGGGAAGTCATCTGTGTACGGACTTGCAGTCGGACATAATGTTTTTATGGGCAACAGTTTGCTCTGCTCTAGGAAAAAAAAATTTCTCTGGGTGGCTCTGTGTATACATACATTTCTAGAGTGTGAAATATTTATATTTTGCTGCTGATATTTGTTTTTTCTATTTAAGACCCTCTACAACCTCCTCAAACTATAAAATTGAAGACTGCATAGCAGGGGCTTGGAAACTTAAGAAAAAAAAGTAATTAATAATTTTTTAAAGGTTATATAACACTGACATTTTAACAGGGATAAGGCTCTAAGAGATTTCTTTGGCAACACTACTGTCAGCAGCTGCCCTGTCTTGGCATCTGAGCAAGTTTGGGGCTTATGACTGGCTGCAAGCAATGCTAGGTTAGAGTAGAAAAAAAAAAGAGTGATATGAAGTTTGCATGTAACTCACCATTCTTTTATTAAAAAAGAAACATGCAACCATTTCAACTGACACTTTAAGGAATTTTGACGTGACAGTTGTGTGTGAAGGCAGGTAGCTGGAGCCCTGAGTATGTGAGGTTTCCTGGCTCCTGACTGCCAAAGCAGACACTCCAATATACCATGCCCCCAAGTATGTTTGCATAACTTCTCTTCACCCTTACAGCTCTGTAGAAGAATCTGACCTAGCTGTGTCAAAATTTATTAGCAAAATTGATTTCCATAACAGGGCTTTGACTTGGTTTTGCTTTGCAGAGTGTCTTTAGAAATAGCCATGTCTGCAGAGAGTCAAACCCGAACAGCTAAAAAAGCACTTTCAACCATTCCACACCAAACGTGAATTTTAGTGGTTTTGACTGTTGACCTTTTGTAGAAAAGAACCTGGTGCTGGTAACAAGTAACAAGTACTATTTGGGAGGAGCTTGTTACTGGTCAGTGCATTCAATCGTTTGAACACCTAAATAAGTGTCAGATTTGGCAAACCACTGATATCTAATTTTTTAATGTCAGGCACTTGCTGCAGGTACCACTGAATATGTGTGATTCTGAAAAATAAAAATAAATAAATATGAACTTTGTGACCCACGTCATTTGAACAGCCCCTTTAAATGAGCTGCAGTCCAACATGAGTGGAAGTAGTGTTTTATGAAGTTTACACTGAGGCCCTGGTGAATTACAGAAAGAGCAGCAGGTGATAATGGAAACAGTTTGAGACACCAGTGGCAGAAATTTGAGCTTGGTGGAGACTGCAAGGTTCCTTATTAAACAATTCTTCAAAGCTGGTGCTGTTACGAGAATGGTATTAGTAAAAGTCAAATTGTCCTTAACAGTTCCAGTGGGATGATGATAACATATGTAAAGGGTTTGTTTTAGCACATAAATACTTCTATTTCAGATTATATGGGGCAGTATCTTTCTGCTCGATAGTATATACTAGCTCATTTAGCCATTCATATCATTGCATCCATACATGGCACGCTTCCATTAGCTTGATTAATACCAATTTCTCTGCAGCCATTGCTTCAGCATGTGCAAGGTGATGACAATATTTCCTTTTTATACAGGAGAATGTTGAGGCAGGAGATAAGGAGACAACTGGAGCTGCCAAGAAGGAAAGCGAGGTACATATGAATAGACTCAAGTGTGGTTGTGCTTTAATATTTTGAAGCATGGCAAAAAATTTGTCATTTGCATGTCATCAATAGGCAGGCCAGTACCATGCAACTGTGACCTAGCTGTGGTATGTAAGTCTAACACTGCACAGATATATCTCCACCCATGGCGTATATTCTAACATATCACCTCTCATTCAATGCAGGATTTATTTTAGAAGCTGCCTGTTGCAGCAGTATAGAGTGCCAAATATTTCAGGGCAGCAGATAAAGTAGCTCCATGGCTAAAGGAGGTATAATGCTGTTTCTATTGACATTTGGAAATACGCTGCATAAATTCCCAGTAGCTCCTACAAATTTCTGTATATTTGTTTACCTAGCCTTTCTGTAAATTCCTTTATTAAAAAAATCCTATGGTTAATCATTTCTTTTTCCTAGCACAATATGCCCTGAGCTAAAACAGATACTTGGAAATAATCATGTTATGAGTTAGTTTGCTAAGCATAGTCTGGCATTATTAGATGCAGTTAAAATCAAATTACAAAGCAAATTAAAAGCTCAGTGACATACTTTAGGCTGTGCATATGTGAACTTGAATGATTGCATGTTGCTTATATTTCTTTAGAGGTCATTAAAGTACTTACTCTGAATCCTTGTGTACTAAAGTGAAACTACAATGTGTTCAAATGTGCACAAAGGGCAGCACAAAAGGATTGGTTGCATATTAAACTCAGGAATAGAAATAGGGACTGGGAAATAACTCCTAGTTATTAATCACTCAGGATTTGTATCTCAAGACTAGCAATCTGTATCTCAGTGCTAGCAATATGCTTTTTTTGTTGTTACTCATTTTGATGCCATGATATATACAAAGAGTTAATGAACTGGTTTCAGAACATGCTACGTTCATCTGTCCAGGCTTAGGTTCATTGTCCTGCTGTAAAACTGCATTAGGTCTGCTAGAGCCAAGGATATGTTTGTGGCTGTAGGGCATACCAGTGTCACTTGGAAGTGAATTTGGGACTCACTGGTGCTGTATTCCTCACCAGCACTGCCACATCCACATGGAAGCCACTGGAATTGCATTGGAAGAAAGTGCAGAGTGGGAGTGGTAGATCAAGCCCAGCTTGGTGTGGACTCAGTGCAAGAGTGTTGTGTTGTTCCTCAAGCATTGCCTTGTCACTCCCAACAAGTCTGGTTCAAGAAGAAATATGCCAGAAATGCCTCATAGTTGTGCTAGCACTAAGGCTAAGTCTTTGAAATCTTCTCCCTGTATTCTGATACTACTTTTTCACTCTCTGAGAGTGAATTTGCCCATGTTCTGTTTAAAACAGTATTACTGTATGCAGAAGAGCTGCCTTAAGAGATTCAGTTATTTGCTAAGCCAGTATTTGACTGTTAATGGAGCGTGGTCCCTTTGCTACTCTGTGACTTGCATAACAAATTATTCAGTACTACATCAGAATTTTCCAAGACTTTGCAACTGATGCATTCTCTCAAATTTGATGATTGGTCTCTCTTGACATTAGATAGCTTAGCTGTGATTATAACCAACTGTCATAAAAGTTACCCATTCCTGTTCTAAATCCAGCCATGGGGAAGAACTTCACCTCTGGAAGATGAATGTATCTGAGGGAGCTCCTCTGGCAGACCCCAGCCACAGGCTTGGGCCCCTTCTCCTGGGCTCATTATTGCTACTGCTGAATCTGTGGCATTGTGTTGAGCTGGCAGTAATGCTATGAGAGTACAACTGTGTGGATAAGCTGCATCCTGGGTAAAGAAAACTCCACATCTGTGCAATTAAAACAGTTGAGTGGTTCTATCACACCCCTCATTATACTGGATGATCCTTTTTTTTTTTTTTTTTTTTGCCTCTGTGTGCTTGGTGTAATGGGACAGCTGTCCTAATTTCAATAATTTGAGATTGCTAATTTGGAGTACTATTAGACTGCCTAATGTTATTAATTACCTATATAAAAGAGATTTGTAGGATTGGTTTTCAGTGTGAAGTAAGGTAATACAAGTAGCTGTATCTACAAGGATGTGGTTCAACACAGCTGGTTATGAATTCAGCCTTCTGCCCTTTTTTTTTCTCTTCCGTCCTAATCAGATATTTGAAGCTGATAGTGAGGTTCATTCTGTGCTACCTCATATGCCTTTTTATAAAAGCTTTTTTTTATAAAAGCATCTAGCTTTTAATGGTTTTGTACTCTAAGACACAAGAAAAATGATTGTGATTGTGAACTATAGTATACATTTAGTGACTCATGACTGCATGCTGGGAGAGTGTCACGCTTTCACTGTGGGGCATTTGTGGTAAATTAGTATCCTCCTCCTTAATAAAATAAAATGGTCCATAGGAATCCAATAAGTAGAAAAGAAGTTGTTGATCTTAATCAGAATAGACAGCAAGACCAGTTTCTGCAGCATGCTCTTAGAAATGCATGGTGTCAAATCAATCTGATGTGCACTTTATTCCCACTATTTCCTACTAACTTCTTCCAGGACTTTAACATTCATCATTTATTTGTGTATCTTCTTGGATCAAGACTGCTAAAATTGGTAATACTATATCAGTGGCAGACTTGCATGCCTTATAGGAGAAAATGCCAACATCTGACTTTCTCTGTTGATGTTATTTCCTCTTACAATAGAGCATGCTTCAGCAGCAGCAATTTCAATTTAAATTAAAGTTGCCCAGTGATTTCTATAAATCCATACAATATTGTCTGTCTTCATGGATTCCAGGAGAATTTCTTTATCACATCAATTAATAACAGCAGATAGGAGTAGTGGTGAATATTTAATGTTGCTAAAAAACAATGCCTGAATGGTGCCCTTGAACAGTTGCTGAGTTCAGGTAGTAAAGTTAGCTTCATCCACAGGGGAAAGATCAAACTGAGGAAATAAATAGCATCAGACTGTTCACTGGATATCAGAGAGATTACTACTAACTGTGGCTTGACATTGGTACCTTGAAAAGACTTTTCCTTCAGTGTTTTTTCTTTATCATTGAGCCATCTGCTGTAAGGTAAAACTTCTGTCTTGAAAATTAGATTAAAACAATGAGTTTCATAATTTACCTTCAACAGTCCAAACCTTAAGATTAATCAATTTTAAGTATATACCCAATATGCTACCATAAGCAGTATATAGCAATGCAAGTGTTAGGGGGCTGCATGAATTACAAGCGTCTTGGTTTAAGGCAGTTTAAAAGGAGAACACTCTGGAATGGGTTACCTCCCTTTGTAGGTTCAACCACTCCCTTTCCGCCACTAAGGAATGAATATGAGTAGATACAAGTGAAAAATATCAGTTCACTAATAAATTAAATAGCAACAAGCAAAAGCCAACAACAAGTAACTGCTAGATACAAAATAGCTAAATGTTATGAACCCATGAGAACAGAGAGATCCAAAATGCCAGCAAACAGCCTTTCCTGAGATAGCGCCCGACAGGGGCAACTGCATGGGAAAGACAAAGGGACCGGATGGCGTCCGATCCCTCCCAGGAAGGCAGGAGCTCATGGAGCAGCTCCAGTGGTAGATGAAGACCTGACAGCCCCTCTGGGCTCAGTGCTCTCCTCACAGCCGGAGACAGCAGGGCAGGCAGGACCAGGCAGAGCCATTGGGCCGGGGCACTCACGGCTCACAACAGTCCGGGCCAGCGCCAGGGCTGCTCCGCTTCTGTTGGCGCGATACCTCGACTGAGATGGGCACCTGCGGAATCCATCCCAAGGCAGTTTAAAGCCTCTGACTTCAGTCTCTCCAACACAAGGAAGAAGACAAAAATATGAAAAGAGAACCCAGAAAGGGAGAAGCCTCTGCTTAAGCAAAGCCCAGGCAGATAGCAAAGAAAAACCACACAGCAAGAGGGAGACAACCTGCCCTGCTAGGGCAGACTGTAACAATGCCCATGATAGTGTCCTGCCCCAGTTTTTCCAGCTGCAGGGTCTTAAAAAGACAGTAACAATTTGGGGAGCAGATAGATAGGGAATACAATAACCTTTTGAGTTATTTATACTTTATAACAACAAGTAACAGTTTCTGCTGGATGAAGGATTTAGGCAGTTACTTTTCTATCCACTTTTCGTGAGTTTGAATAAATCATGCATTAACTTCTTAACACAGACTGATCAGAAATTATTCAGTCACAGCCAGACTTTAAATGTATCTTTTTATGCTGACATAAGTATAGATCTTTGTGGTTAATTTTTTTCTGATACTCACCTAGACGTAGAATATATTTACTTCTCCTGACATGACCTGATTTGTAAGTCCCTCTGTTAGAAAAGAATGTGTAACTAAGATTACAAGATTTTTGAAGCCAGGCAAGGTCTGTGGTGAGGTAGGTGACTAGCTGGAGGAGGCTTGAAGGCTCTTCCCAAGAACAGACTCCATTAGCAGGGTCCTATGGACCCCTAGACAGTTTGCAAGCTCCTCTTCCTCTGCAGAAAAATCAGTGGTAAATTTCTTCCACAATACCACTGAAAGACAAGGGAAGGAAAACAGCTTTGACAAACAGTTACTCCGTTCAGAACACCTGAGGACTCAGCTAAATGTTGCCTTGTGAGGTTTCATAAATGTCTCTCTCCCACCTTTTAATCAGTTTTTTCTGTACAAGCTTGTCCCCAGCCCTGCTCTTCTGCATAAATCAAGAGGAACACCAGAGAACTCAAGACCATAGGTCAGCATCACACAGGGAGGTCACAGAGCAGAGGCTGGCCCATGTTCTCTCCAGCAAGTGTCTGTAACTCGTACCCTGAAAGGTCGCTCCCTTCTGTTGTTTTTAGGTGATGCCTGTTGGTGAGAGCACTACGGTGTCAGAAGACAGTGCAGCTGTGGCAGCAGGAGCTGCCACCACTGAGCAGGAGGATGTTGCTGAAGGTGACAAACCTCAGGGAGAAGAAAAAGAGGCTGATATGTCTCAGGTAACTCGTGTCAGTGCATGGGAGAGTGTGTTAGGGGAATCAGGACAGATTAAACAGCCTGAGAGAGGCAAGGCTACTGCAGCTCTGTGCCCCCAGGTTCAACCAGTACAGGTTCAACGAGCAGCAAGATGATGTTCTCTTGGGATGGCCCTAGAAAGGTCTCACACAGGGTATCCTTTCTTTGAAGTCCTTACTTTGGGTTGTGCTGATAACATTTATCACATAACAGGGCTTTCTGGAGAAATAGGCAGAGAAACAATTGGATTTTTCTTATATCCTGGCATCATGTCCTATCAATAGCATTACTTTGTTTCCTGTAAGTCATGGTGGTCAAGCCATGTATCCATATCTGGCCTGCTGCCTTTTCATCTGCAACCTCTGAGGAGCTGACAAACACCTGCTAGAGCAGACCCTGTAGCTGAGCAGCCAGTCACCACCTGATTTCATTGCATATTCTATTTCATCTGTGCTCCAGGATAAAATGGTTTGGAAGAGGATCTATGAACATTTTTTTTTTTCAGGTTGGGTGCTACAAGAAGTTTTGTTAAATGCTTTTTTGCTGGGATTCATGATTGGTCAGATGCTGCTTAGATTTTTTGCTTTCTTTATTCCCAGTTACATTGTTGTAAATCAGGAGAGATCCCTTCAGTCAAAGAAATAGGTCATATTTCCTTCTTTCATCACCTTCTATCACTATTATCCTGCTGACTTCAATTTCCAAATAAAAACAGTACTGTGATTACTACTAATGGCTTCACTCAAACTTGCTGAAACTAAAGAGCAGAGTGAAGGAAAAAGGTGTAGTGATTTCCAGGAATGCTGAAAATAATAAAAATTCTCTGTAGGTAGCCCAAGCTACCTACAGAGAATTTTTATTATTTAGTGCAATAATGTGTAAAGTAGGTTTAGGAGGACTAAGGGGAGCAGTGATAAAAGGGAGGGGATTATTCCTTGACATTCTTGCACAAATGTCTTAAATGTCTTAAAAATTCATGGTAGAGAAAAACAGAAATTCTCATCCCCATATATGCCCTATGCAATAAACAAACGATAGTGTTTTCCTGCTTGAAATAAAGTACTAAAAAGTTTTGTATTTGTTTTCTCTGGGGGGGTTGTTTTTGGGTTTTTTCCCCCAGGAAAAGGTCAGCAGCATCCCTGCAGTAGTAATAGATCCAGCATCAAACAACGAGGGGGAGGGAGAACACGAAGTCGTCATGGATGAGTCCAAAGATGCCACAACAGAGATGGGCGCTCAGGTCACCGACACTTCTCTCAGTGAAACTTCCCAATCTGGAAATGATCAGAAACCTGCTGAAGAAATCCAGGCTGCACTTTCTCAGGATCAGCCTGTTCCAGCAGAAGATGCAGCTTCAGCAATGCCACCTGGTTTTCTCTATAAGGTCTGCTTCTCCATTCTTCTTTTAGATAGATCCCTAGCTTCTGTGGATGAGTCTTGTCTGCACAGGTAGTGTTGTGATTTGTTGAGGGCAAAGGATTCTTAATTTATCAGCCACTTACATGCACAAATACATGTAACTACAAGTGTAATATTGTGTTGTTGCTTCATAAATAAAGTCTAAGGTACATTTTCTGCATGCTTGTTGCTGGGCATATATTACATAGCTGTAAGATTCATTGAAGTACAAGAACACTTGAATCTCACCAAATGACTGCTGAAAATTAATATATGGAATAAAACTGCACTGCTGCATAGTTAATAAGAATATTGTTGATATATGCTTATTATATATCTGATATGCTGACAGTGTATTTGATCTCTCAGGTCCCTTGCAAACCCAAAGCATTCTATGATTCTATGATCGTTTTAAAAATGGCCTTTTTTCTGGTCTGAAAATCTTTAGTGAAGTACTGACTCTATTGAAACTCATAGCTGCAGTTAATGGTAATGAAGCCAAAATGTCATTCAGTAACTTTACTAATAATATAAACTATTATGGTAATCAAACAGAAAAAATTAATGAGGCATAAGAGAAGTTCTTTCCTTGGCTGGCAAAACCCCCAGGGTTTCCTGGTTCACAAGATTCTTTGAAAATACTTTTCATTTAGAATCACTGAGGAGCAGAAAAACTCCTTGAGGATGGATGAACTTTACATGCTTCCTACTATAATTTGCATAGTTCAGACTAATTAGTCCCATAGCACTCTCTAAGTATGCCATTCTTTTTGGTCTATTTTCATTGCTCAATATTTTCTGCAAACTTTGTGGATAGCAGTAGGGTAAAGGTAAACACTATCATGCAACTCAAACATGCTGTCATAGTTAATCTTCTGCTTTTCATCCCACTCTCTAGGGTCAGACATAGAGAAGGAGAAGCAAAATATATGCTTTCAATCAGGTTCCCAATGCCACTTCCTTTCATAATTGCAGAGTTATCGTGGAGCTGTCTGTGCGTTGAGAAAATTAGACTAGCTATCTTTTAAGGAGATAAAACCATTTACTTAAAATGGTCTGTTACAACGACATGCTGATCTTGCCAATGTTTGAATGCTCACCCCTTTGAAAGGCAGATATTTTTGGGCATATTATGGGCATACCCATCTGCTGGTAAGTGGGAGTTCCAAGGCAATCATGAAGTAGGGTTCCCATTACTCACCTCTTGGATCATCTATTGCAATGGGTACTGTATATCTGACTCAAATGTTTATAGATATTCACAAGAAGAGTAATACAACAATGGCCACAACAAGAGAATGAGAGAATATAAAGTTTTTGAGAATATTTTTCAATTTTATTTGTAAAATCCTGCCACCCCTCTCGCAGATCTTGTCATGATAATGGGGAATGGAAGGCAGTTCCTTACATGGGAAAAATAGCAGTGACAGGCCTTGTCCAAGAGGCAGGACTTGTGGAATGTTGCATTATAATCTGTCCTTGAGATCCTGTAATCTTGGGGAAGGATTTAAGTTTCTTCTAATAGTCTCAGGAAAGGAAATTATCCTTAAGTTGTCCCTGCTTCTAAGGAAATGCATTAAAAACTGACATGAATCAATGTCTTTATTATCAATTTATGCAAGATCAAAGGACGTGGTTCTGTTATTGTGAGATCCCAGCTGGAGTGCTACATACAGTCCTGGTGTCCCCAGCATAGGAAGGATATGGAATTGTTGGAACAAATCCAGAGGAGGGCCAAGGTTGATAAGAGGACTGGAACTGCACCACCTCGAGCACAGGCTGAGAAAATTGGGGCTGTTCAGCCTGGAGAAGAGAAGGCTCCATGCAGAACTCATGGCAGCCTTCCAGTATGTGAAGGGAACCTACAGGGAAGCTGGAGAGGGACTCTTCATCAGGAACTGTAGTTCCTTATAGGACAAGGAGCAATGTGTACAAATTGAAAGAGGGAAAATTTGGATTAGGTATTTTGAAGAAATTTTTACTGGGAGAGTGGTGAGACAGTGGAACCGGTTACCCAGGGAGTTGGATGTGGATGCCCCAGCCCTGGCAATGTCCAAACCAGGTTGGATAAGGCCTTGAACAACCTAGTGTAGGGAGTCCCTGCCCAAGGCAGGGGAGGTTGGGACTAGATGATCTTTAAGGTCCGTTACAACCTGTTAGCATTCCATGATTCTATGATAATTTCAATGTACTTGTCTATAGCCATATGTTTGCATAAAGATGATTTTTTTTTTCAGTCCAGATTTAATAGGTAATTTTGTTAAGAAAATGTCTTCATTTAGATCACATCTATGTATGTGGTGGTTTTTTTTCTTTAGGTTGAAGTTTTACATGATTTTGAGGCAGCTAACAGTGATGAGCTTAATTTAAAACGAGGAGATATTGTGCTAGTGATTCCTTCTGAGACCACAGCTGATCAGGTAAAAACATGATTCTTCCTTTTGTTGCCACTTTTCTTTGTCTCAACTTTTTTTCTTACAGGTTATAGTTAATGGAAATGTGTGTTCAAAATTATGTTCCTGTAAGAAAACACAAAGATTTTACTTATGCCTTTGTATGTAGTTTCATTTGAGGCTAAATTGCACAATTGACTATACCCGAAGTCACAGATACATGTTATTAGCAGGATCTGACCTCTGCATATTTTTTAGGACTTTTTTGTGCTACATTGTATTTTACACTAACACACAGGTACACAAAGATTTCATGCAGAGGATGACCTACAAACTCTGTTACATTGTTCTATATCATCTTGTCATCATTCCAATAGAATTGAGTACATGCTCCCTAAATGTTTAGTTTTCATGTGTGATTTGTAGAAATAGTGCAAATTCACCCACAGAGAGCACTGAATGCACACAAATTGGGGTGTCCTACAGCCCAAAGGTATAGAGATGCTGCTCTGTGTTGGGTGCCTCTGATAAAGACAACTTTGCCCCTCGGAAGCCTGAATCTGAATTAAACAATAATTTAATTTAAGGCATATAATTTTGTTCTAACATTGTATTTCAGGAGAATTTTTAAACAATTTTATTCCATATGTTAAATTGAATTGCAGTGAAGGATGTTGATTTTTGGCTGCTGCTTTAAAAGAGAAGACTGTACTGTACCCTATTAGCACCAGCCACTCCATGGGCTTCTGTTAGTGCCTGTAGTGTTGGTAAGAAGTCTCCCAATTGATTTCGGGGTTGAGGAGTGGGGAACTGGATCCTGCCTGATCAGGTAGCCAAGAGCACTGCTCTGAAAGAAGAATATCTCTTAAAATAGGCCTAAGTACTAATGCCCTAAGCATATATGAGCCCTGAGAACTGTGTTTGAAATTGTTTTGCTGGTTGATGCTGTTCGAAGTTAGGTAATTATCAGTCCTCTCAGCTGTGCTTTCTTTAATTCAAGATACAAATTCTTGGCTTTTGTGAGTGGGTTTTTTTTACTTATTTCAAAACAAAATATTTACACTACAGCAGATACATAACTCTTTTTATTGGAATGAAATCTATTGTCCCTACTCAAATTATGCTGTCTTACCTCATAGGCAGTTCAATTGATTTCACTGTCAGTGTTTGCAGAATAGGACACTACTCTAAGGATAGCAAAATATGGTCTCTGACTTAGTCTATTTTTTGCTAGGATACTGGGTGTTAAATACATGATAATGCTTGGTGAGTCTATGAAGTGTAATTCTTCTTCTGGTATGCACTGAAATTCCCATTAGCATTAATTGAAGTAAATTGTGTGCAGTGATGGAGAAAATAAACCTTTATGTACTCATGTTTCTGAAGCCATTCTTTTCTTATATTTATTGCACGTTACATATTTCCCCTTCATGTTTAACATCACCATAAAGCTCAATGCTTTTGTCTTTTGCCAGATACTTTGTTGATTTTTATAAAGGCTTATCTTTGTTATTCTTTATTCTCTTTCAAAAATGACCTGTCTAAAGCCTTAATTCCAATACACCTGGTAACATCAATCTCCATTTGAAGAAAACCTGCCCCACACAGTGGCTTTTTCCATTAGACTTGCATTTAAGTTATTATCCAGTAAAACTGTGTATTCCTTTCTACACTCTATACTGCCTATGCTGAAGAGCTGCAGTTCCTCTACCTCTTAGATATTCCACATGCCTCACTTAAATATGCAGTCAATGTCACAGATAAGCTTGATCTGCTTTAATGATGCTGATTTGGGGGCAGAGAGCCCTCACCAGCACACAGAGCCCCCCCATAATTATGATTTGATGGTGTATGTGTTCAAGCTGTTCTGTATATGTACTGTCTGTACAGTAATAATATGACAACATTAGAAGTTCTGTTTGCCGTGGCTTTGCTTCAGTTCCTTTTCTTTAAAGAAAAAAGATACAGAGTTTCTTAGTGAGATGAGAGTAGATTGGTCATTTTTTAAAATACCAAATCATTTTATTCTAGGTAGAATATATCACACTTGAGAGAATCCAGTACTTTCCAATATGGAATCTCTCTTTTGTTTGCTTGGACAGCTGCTGATTTGTTGATATTCTGCTTATCAAGTCCTGGTTTATGTTTCCAGGAGTTTTTTGAAAAAGAATTACATACTTTCTAGACATAGTAACTCCTGAGACTGCAAGAACTGTTCTTTCTTCTGACTGTTGATACATGAATGAGAGAAAAATATCTCAGAGGAAAAAAATTAGGATTCAGAACTATTCTTCCCCCACCTAGATGGGCTAAAGGCTATCGTGTGCTTGCAGTCACTTGGTCTCACAAAATTGTAGTCTGGTAGAACAGAGAAAATTATCTGTGCAAAATTAGAGGCAGCTTTTTAACCAAAACACCAAGTCCTTTTAGCCATGTTTTTCTGAAACATCTTCAGTCTGAAGATCATAGTGAGGAATGGGATACCTAAAATTTAAGAGTCTCTGTCTTTTTCTTCGCAGGAGGCTGGCTGGTTGACTGGCATTAAGGAATCCGAGTGGCTTCAGTACAGAGATGCAAATAGTTATAAAGGACTTTTCCCAGAGAACTTCACACGCCATCTGGAGTAGTTCTCCCAGGCAGACAAATGTAGTATGAAGCTCAGTCAGTAGGTTTCTAACCTCGTTGAAACACAGGAGCCCACCTTTTTGTTGTTTAAGCTGTTAATGGTTTACAGACTGGTGCCAGACAAAGCTAGTTGAAACATATCAAATGAGCATGAGTGCAAACAGTTAAGCTGTAATTTCTGAAGCAGTACGTGGGAAAAAAAAAACAGATAAAAATGAAATGTCCTTATTTGTTCACGAGTATGTGGCGACAGGTTTGTTTGTGCTTCGTCAGAGCTATGGTGATCCTGTATTTGATCCTTTCCCAAGAAATCTGAAATTAGCTTCCTCAATACCAAAACCTTAACTTCTCTGCACTAAGTGTATTGTATTCCGTTGCACTGCAGAAGATTTAATTAATTATCCTGTAGTTATAAGGTCAAACTATTTCAAGTTCCATATGTTAAAAAGATAGTTAACTACTGCAACGTTTTTCAGTGTTATTTTTGGACATGCATAATATATATACACAAGGACTTGTATGTGTATATATGAGTGCATATGGCTATATGCATTTTCACAACTTCATTGTAGCTCTTTGGCTGTGTAGTATCATCGAGTACATGCATTGCTTTTTCATTGTCTGGCATTACAGGAAACAGTTTTGTTCAAAGCAAAACTAACTACTCCATTGCCAAAACATGATACAATATCTGTGTTTGTAATGTGGAATTTTCATTCTTAGATGATGAATAACATCATGTTCAAAGCCGCTAACCTTTGAGAAGGCATGGCTCGGTCTCCTCTTCCAGCTGCAGTAGTTACAATGAGATAACCTGGAGGGGGGAGTTGTTATGATGCTAATCTATACTTTTTTATTTAATTGGCTGAATACATTTTCAAAAAGAAACAGAACTAATCTCTGAGAATAAATAAACACAATATATTTTCACTATATGTATTTATGCAGCATACCTTCACAGAACCTTTTAAAGTAAGATATATATATCCTGTATCAAAAAGTCATCTGTAACTTATGTTTTCCAGTGCTGTGTCATTAAAAATAAACCTTTGGTCCAAAGAAGCTGTTTTTTCTGTGGTACTTTTGAAGTTTTGTAAGAAGTCCATATAATTTATACATTGTATTATATAATCTAAACTTAATTTAATACCTCTTTTTCCAAAGGAATATAGCATAACAGGTGCAACCTCTAAATTCTTGTTCTCAACCCAAGTTGTGGCTAGAGTTCCAAAAAGTCTGAACCCCAGCTCAGTATGTCTCTCTGCTGCTCTTCCTGTTCCCAGCTCTGACCACCAGCTAATATCTGTGCAGTGAGAAAGGGAGATTGTCTGTATTTAACCATCACTCAGCTGAAGATCTCTGTCTCTTATTGATTCTTCACTTGTCCACTTTTTTCATAAGTAAGTTTTCTATAAATCTGCTCCATTGTGTTTGCTGAGGCATGGAAGCTGCAAATATTTAGGAATATCTATATTTTCCTAGGAATTCAGTTATTTTTCATTAAACATTTGTCATCTCGTATGCAAACAATATCTGTTTCTACTCCATTCCTAATTTGCTAAATCTCAGTTGAAGAAACTGTGCCTCTTGAAGAAGAGGAGGGTTGATTTTTTTCTCTGTTTTTCAGGGTCTCTCTCAGTAGGTTTTGCAGGTAAGTCCAATCATAGCTGTGTTTTGTGAAGAAGCTGAATGGCTCAGTTGTGACAGCTGGGATTTTGGATTTGAAATATCCAGTGAGTCTAAGGAGGTTACAGGAAAGCATCCTGGTTTTCTGTTCTTTCCTTCAACAGGTTTGATCTAGGGCTAATAATCTCTCCAAGGACAAAACTTGCTTTTGGTTTTCTTGTTACAATAAATTCCAGACTTCAGCACGCCATTTTGAGGTGGTCATAATAACCTATTACACTTGGTTTGGAGTGATACTCGTGATAACCTCCAGGTAGCTTCTTGCTTAACTGCATCTCAGCACTTGATAATTCTACATATCACTGGAAAAGCCCAGCACTGTACAATGGAGCTTCATTTTCCCTGTGGACACCATGTCACCACCTCTTTGAAAGGGACCTGCTGTCAAGTGAGATCGTTATGTGTGACAGTCCTAACCCCAAGGTCGTTATGATCAAAGCATTGCTATGATCAGCCAAATGTATCCTTTTACCAGGTGTCCATCACATGCACTTACTATTATTAGGGGCCCTCTTGGTTTTGTAAGTATTGACGTCAAAGTCAAACACCTTTGGTCTTGATTCTTCTAATCTCCTTGGTCCCAGCACAATGTGACAGATCCACAGAGTGTTTCAAATACACTTAAGATTGTACATAGATAGGAAAGGTCTCTGGCCTACAGCAAAGAGCTTTCATGGTACTGCCGTCATTTGTTGGCAACAAGATGCATTGATAATGTTCCAAAAGCTGTGGCATCACTCATGTTGTGTAATTTAAATGTTGCAGGTTACTGTGTACATGGCATACCATTCTGACATTATGTCTTCACGTCTCACATACATAACCCAGAGCCACAAGTGTCTTGCAGAAAGGATGAAGAAAATTATTGTTTGCAAAATTCCATATACTAGGATGATACACTCATGTCTACAGCTCATGAGGTGAATCCTGTGCAGTAAGTGTTCTATAAAACTGTGATCTATAAAACTTTATTCTATGACAAGCAAGGGAAATACTTTCCACTATGTACTACTATTACATACATGATACACTTGTGTTACACTGCATTAACTGGAGTTACATTCCATATGAAATTATATTAGCCCAAAATGATTTCTCCCTTTACTTGGATTTTTTTTTGATTTACAGTGTTGCATTTGTCAAATTACTGAATTTTGTGCTTTCAGAATTGTAAAACTCATTGTTTCTTGGTTTCTCTAATGGCTTATTTATGCCTAAGAGAGCATATGCCACTAACCTTTTTGAGCAGGTGTAGTTTATAATTCTACATTAAATAAACCCTTGAAAGATTTAGAGATCCAGTCTCCTGATCCCACAGACTGATGATTCATGGTATGGTCTTTAAAGAAAGACAAAGTAACTGAAGATAGAGGATCATGGAACATGTTGTATGAGTAAACAAATAAATTTTGTGTATTTGCAGCTCATCTATCTGGTTTACGACCTTTCCTGAATAATGAAAACTGCATAAGCTGAGCAACACTTCTGTCCTTTCTCTTCTCCTCCCCTCCCTATCTTGCTTATCTCTTCCACTAGATGCATCTGTCCCTGCCACAGAAGGAGAGAAGGCTGAGGGGTGCAGTCCTACTCAAATAGCATGGTGTTCAATTCCAGGATGTCTTGATTACTGATGCCCTAATTATCAGAGAGATGTTAAATAAATCAAAGTCTCATTAAGCTCATTCTTAACAAAAATTTTGTAGTGTCTTGCTGCTGCAGAGAAAAAGGCATCAAAGGAAAGCCACTGTGATGGGTATTTTAGATGGATGGGATTGGGAAGGAGCAACCATTGGCTGAAGAACACTTTACAAGGTTGTCACGTCTGCTCTGTGCAGGCAGAGCACAAGCAAGTAGCAGGCATAAGTACCACAGTAGCCTCAAACCCACCACAGTTTGTTGTTTGAAGTACAAAATCATATTTTATGATTTTAAATTAGATTTGAAAGATCTATCTTTTCCCAGCTGCAAGTTCACTTGAGTGAATCTTCACCATTCTTTGACTTTTAACCCTTTTGTCCCAACAGTCTTCACCCATGTAATTTGAGTTCTGGTGCTTTGTGCATCTTGTCTCTACCAGCATCTCAACTATTTCCCTCTTTTCACTCTGGCCTGTTTAATCAGCACAGAAGCATCACACAGGGAAAAATGCAGCACTTTCCAAATGGTTTCTCCTGTAACCAACAGGAAGGCCTCTTAATTAGCATTAATTTGCAAAAGCTGAAATTATCCATAAGAGGGTTGTACTGCATATTCAGATGCTTAATAGCAGTTAAAGGAAACTTTCATGAAAGAAGACTCAGACAGCAATAGAAGTACCACTCTGTGTAGATGCAGGCTTTCTATCCAGCCACAGGCACTAAATGCAATGCAGATAACAACAAAGTATTGTGTAGCCACCAAAACTTGAGTCTTCAGGAGCCAATGGTACTCATATCTGCTGAAGACAGTCTAAAATGCAAAATCCTCTATGTCCTCAGCCTGGTTTCAGAGGAGAAAAGAGGCTGGGGTTTCTTTTGGTGCTGTCAGAGCGCAGGCTTTGATGTGAACCAGATAAACCCCTGGTCATTACTAGTGCCTTTGTATTTGCCTAGACAGACTGCTTGAGGTGCAAGGTATCATTGGACCAAGAACATCAAAGCACTGGAAAGGTAAGTAGTTATGTACTTAAATTATTACATTTCCAAGGTACATGCTGCAAAGGAGAAGGTTAAGGTAGTCCAGATTTGCAAATTTAATTCATAAGAAAGTCAACATTTCTGTATTAAAGCTTTTTAAATTAAACATCTTGACCTGCAATGGAAGGAAGAATCTGGCTGTATGTCAGTGAATGAAAAAAGAAAACATGTAATTTTGAAGAATTAACTCTGCAGGTTAACACATAATTGCCAAATGATGGCCTGCAGGCTTCTGTGAGAAGCTGCTGGAAGCTTCCTTCATGTTTGGCAGAGCTAATCCCTGGTGGCTCCAAAGAGGGATGTGCTGCTGGTCAAGACTGGGCCAGTTGGAAATGGTGGTGATGCCTCTGTAATTACAGATTTAAGAAGAAAGGAGAAAAGTGACTGCACAGTTGTAATTGTGGCCAGAGATGAGTGGGGTGACAATATGGGAGAGGAAAAACTCTGCAGACACCAAGGTCAGTGGAGAAGGAGGGGGAGGAGGTGCTCCAGGCACCAAAACTGGGATTCTACTGCATACTGTGATGAAGACCATGGTGAAGCAGCCATGCCCCTGCAGCCCACGGAGGACCAAGGGGATGCAGAGATCCACATGCAGCCATGGAGGAACCCATGCCAGAGCAGGTGGATGCCCGAGAGGAGACTGTGACCCTGTGGGAGACCCATGGAGAGAGAAGCCCTTTCTGGAGTAGCCTGTGCTTCAAGAACTGCACCCTGTGGAAGAGTGACCCATGCTGCAGCAGTTTGAGGAGGACTGTGGCATGGGCTCACATTACAGCAGTACACAGGGAGCTGCTGCCCATGAGTTGGACTCATGCTGGAGAAGTTCTTCGAGAACGGTCTCCTATGGGAGGGACCCCACAATGGAGCAGGAGAAGCACTCCTACCTCTCCCTGAGCAGTGAGTGAGCTGACCATAACCCCTATTCTCTGTCTTCGTGCCCCACTGGGGAAGGAGGTACAGCAGGGAAGGAGGGAGAGTAGGGGAAAGGTGTTTTTAAGGTTTTATTTTACTTCTCATTATCCTGGTCTGATTTTATTTAGAAATAAATTTAAACCTAATCTCTATGTTGAGTCTGTTTTGTCCATTGCCCTATTCAGTGAATGATCTCTCCCCATCATTATCTCAAGCCATGAGAAAAATTTAATAAATTTTGTTAAATTTTTTGTTACGTTTTCTCTCCCCTGTCCAGTTTGTGGAGGGGAGTAAGAGACCAGATGTGGTGGGCACCTGGCATCCAGCCAGCCTCCCCTACACAAAGTCATGCAAAATTCTGTGAGTGGCTAAAATCTGACACTTGTCAGGGTTCTGTAACTCCCATGGTGTCATAAAGATACTGTGGTGGTTTGACCGGTCAAACCACCACAGATACACACAAAAGTGGAGGTTGTCAACAGTCTTCAGCAGAGATTCAGAACCCTGTATTTTAAGTCTGTAAGATGCTTCATATGAGAGCCAGTACAAATACTGAGGATATTTAGGTATCTCCTAGCCCAAGAAAGAATATCACACTACTGTCCACCTAAAAAGAACTCATGCAAATTTAAAAGACAGATGTTAAATAGTTTTGCTTAAAAATCTCAGAGTAGGAATCCTTGGCATCCATCCATGCCTATGGGTTGCACAGCTGCTCACAAAGGGCTTCTGAGAGTTTTACTCCTTCACACCCAGCAGAGGGTAGTAGATGCTGGAATTTGCATT